CATCTCAGCCCCCCCCCCAATCCCCCCCCCTCACCCCACTTTGGCCCGTGCTTTGGGACCCCAAAACGCTTCGGGGTTTTCGGGGAAGCGCTTCAGGCCGCGCCTCCTGGAATTGGGGTTGGCGTCGGGGCGGACCTCAAAAGCCTTCACCCTATGGGATTTGGGGGGTCATTTTAGGGTGTGGGGGGGCACCAGGACCCCCCCACACCCCATAGATGTGGGGCCATACGTGGGTTCTGTGGCCAGGATCCGTGCGGCCGCGCTGCCGTCTGTGAGGCGTTCGGGTTTTACGGGGTGCTGCTGTACCTTTAAGAGGGGGGTAATGGGGTCGGATGGGGGGTTATGGGGGGGTTTATGGGGTTTTTTGTCCCCACTCCCGCCTTACCCAGCAGCGCATGATGTCCCATAGCACCGATGGGGGGGCGTCCGTCTTCACGGCGTTCCTACAGGCGTGGGACAGGGAGACGCGGTGCCCCGAATGCAGCAGGGCGGACCTATGGGGGGGGAGCGACCCCAAAAAGTGACATGGACCCCATGGGGGGGATGTGAGCCCCATAAGGGGGGTGTGGGACCCATAGGGGGGATGTTGGCCCCATAGGGGAGGCATGGGCCCTATAGGGGTTGTGTGGGTCCCATAAGAGGGATGGGGACCCTATAGGGGGATGGGGACCCCATAGGGGGATGTGGGCCCCATAAAGGGTTGCAGACACCCCCAAAATGGGCCACTGTGAGGCACAAGAGGGGATGAAGGGGACTGGGGTATTTTGGGGTCCCCCATTGGGAAGGGGGGGGGCTTTGGGGTCGCCCATTGCCCTGGGAGGGGTTTGGGGGTCCTTCATGGTGGGGGTGGTTGGGGGGGCACTGGGGTCACCCAATTATACTGGGCCATTTTTGGGGTCTCCCATCGCAATGGGGGGGTTATTTAGGGTCCTCCCTCCTATGGGGGGTTTTTGGGGTCCCCCATGGCAATGGAGGGGTTATTTGGGGTCCCCCCCTCCTATGGGGGGTCGCGGCCCCACCTGAGCTGCAGCAGGGACGGCGTGTTGCAGCGCAGGGTGCTGCTGAGTCCATCCAACGTGTAATAAAGGGGGACGTCGGGGAGCTCCTGGACCCATAAAAGTTTAGGGTGAGCAGAGAGTGGGGCCCCCCACCCACACCCCCGTCCCCACTGACCCCAATATCCCCATTAGCCCCACGTCCCCACTGCACCCCATTGCCCCCAATGTCCCCAGCGTTACCACTGACCCCAATGTCCCCATTGTCTCCATTTACCCCATTGCCCCCCACCCAAAACCCCATTCCCCCCTTTGCCCCCAATGTCCCCATATCCCCTATTCCCCCCCCTTGCCCCTATTGCCCCCATCACCCCCACTGTCCCCACTGACCCCAATGCCCCCATTACCC